TCTCGCTATGCAGTTCAGGCTGGCCTTAAACTCATTTTGTAGCCAAGGCTGGTCTCGAACTCACAACAATCCTCCTGCCTCAGCCTCCCAAGTGCTGAGATTATGGGCATGTGCCACCACGCCTGGCTTGTTGTTTCATTTTTGTTTTGGTTTTTGAGGCAGGGTCTTGCCATGTAGTTCAGGCTAGCTTTAAACTCACTTTATAGCCCAGGCTGACGGCGATCCTCCTGCCTCAGCCTCCCAAGTGCTGAGATTACACATATTTGTCTCTTACCTTGATTACTTTCGTTATTTGTTATTATGGAACTATAATCTATTCCATCAGAACCTGATATCTCTTCCAACTTTTTAATCATTTCCTGATTAATTACACTTGCTTTACAACATTGTTAAAGTTATTGAAGTCCAGCTTTTACTTTCAATGTTTTTCCTAGAGAGTAAGGTTTAGACCACTGATACTTCCCCATGCCTTTAAATGCTACTGGGAAATTGCTATATGTATTGTAACATGACAGGTAACGTTAGGCTTACCTGATCACCTTTTGAGTGTTGAATGTACTTGGGAATAAAGATATAAGAGTATATTTCCTAAGGCAGATCCTATCTGTGACTTCTTAGCCTAAGGATCTTTATTGCCCACATTATCAGTAGTTAGAATTTTTTACTGGATGTATAGATCTGTGGGACTTTGTGGGACTTATAGTTTGGGGTATAGTATTCACTTAGTCAATGTCATGAAGTGATTTTTCTTCAAAAATTGTTACTGTAGCTAGAAAGGTGCCTAGCTAAATGCAGCTTGAAATTTTGTAGTAAAAACACTGATTACTTGATTTTAATGTAAGTTTTTATGGGTTTTGATTTTTCTATTTAGTATCAGGTGTTTTATTTGGATTATTTATAAGTGCTAAAAAAAAACTTGGAACTTACAGTGAACCAGTATCTGTTGGCTCAAAGGTATATGGAAATCACCAGATTATTTTGTTTTTCTTTTTTAATTTGTGAAATATACATTTGTATCCTTAAGAATGTTTATTCAGAAAAATTTCCTAAAATTTTCCCATTTACCTAATTTGTACAAATGTTATATAATTTAGGAAATTAATTTTATAGGCAAATACAGCAGATAGTCATGGCTAAAGTAGATTTTTCTCTTGGCATATTACAGTTACATAGTGATAAGAACATAATACAGATGTGTATTTGAATAATTGCTAAAATATCAATAGAATTGTGATTAAATTCTGATACCTTTTTCATTGTGCTTAATTACTCGGTAAATACAGGATCATTTTTGCTATTTGTAGATGGAATCTGTGTTTATTCTTTTTGGTATTTGACTATATGAATACATAATTAGATTTGTGGGAAAAGCCCAGAAATTGGCCCATTATCTAACTTTTAATATTTAACAGTTGATATTTAAAACATCATCTTAACATGCCACTGGTACTAAAGTTGATTCTTACATTTTAAGGTATAATATGTTGGGATTACTGAATTGATATTCTGTGCAGTGCTTAGAATACCCCCCCATGCGTATATTTTTAGATTGAGGGGGCGGTAAGGGGAGATGATGCAGTGCAGTAGGATTTATTATATAAACACACACATATGATGACAAAGGAAATGATAGCATGTCTTTTTTTTTGTTAAGTCAGACACTTACCAGTTTTTCTCTGCTCCTTAATTTTATAGAGCCAGAATGAAGAATGGGGAGGTTTGTCTGAGGATATCTTATGATAAAGAGCAGTCTAAGGCTTTAGTCCCTTTGACCCCCAACCTATTTATTGGTAACTACTAAATTTACCATTTTTGTGGCATGGATAAAATGGGGTGCTATGCAAAGACTGTTGCACGTGAGATGATTTCAAATCCTTGCTTGATCTGTGAAGATCAAATAGTTAAATATTGGGTGTTAGACTTTAACCTTCAGTGGTAGATGCATGTTGGTGTTGATCAGCGCTTTGAGATGTGTCAACCTTTCTTTTTTATACTAACAGCATCATTTTTGAAACTTGTGAATTTTTTTTTTTTTTTTTGAGCTTTGTTTGCTGTTGGTATTGTTTCTCACTAAAGTAATACGCAAGCTGGAAAATAAGTGAGGTACCAAAAGCAAGCATTAAACTCAGGAGTATGCTTCTACTTCAAGATGATCCACTTTATGAGTAGATTTACTGGGTGTGCAGATGTTTATCTGCCTTGTCTACAATGTGGTGCTCTATGGACAATTAACTGCAGCTCAAATTTATTTGTTTTCGCGCTGGGGGCTGCATGATATATCTTAGTACTACACTATATCTTTGTGAGAGTAAATAATAAATCCGTGGAACTGCATAAAAATGGAAAGGTAAGAATCTTAGGAGAAAAAGTGATTTCTTGAAAAAAAATGAAGCTCTTGTAACGCAAAATTATTTTAAGTAAATAAATACTTCTGGAAATAATAACATTGTGCCTTTTAATATGAAGATTTGAGTTTCTTAAAAATTAAACCTTGTTAATTAACATTTGGGCAGGCTAATCACATTCAAGAATATCTGAAACTGTTTTAAAAGGGATGCTTTCAGATATATATAATGTCATGTAACAGCAAAAAGCACTTTGATATAAATCCTCTGAAAGATTTACTTTAATGATACAAACTCCTGTAATCCTTTGTAGTTACTACTGTTCGTGTTAAAATCTTTAAGCCTCAACCTATTTCTCTTAAATTGGGTTAAAAGTTAACAAGACTGTAATAGTCTTATGCCAACATATATCACAGTAGTACATAAATTAGAAAAAATTGGCTAATATCCTCATTTCTTGTTTTGCAATCTGATTTTTTCCATTTTACCCTACTTTTTTAAAATGCCAACCCTTACCTACTAAATTGATTTCATGAGCCCTAGGGTTGGATGCCAAAAGAATATCCCAAGGTGTCAGCAGTGCTTTAATTTTTTCATTAAGTACTTTCACAAAAATTTCAGGTTTGAGTTTTTTCCCTATTGACATTGTCATTTCTCTAAGTTCCCATTATAGAAAACTTAGCAAATACAGGCAAGCACACTTGAATATATTCTTACCCACCAACCAGAGCTAATATGATTA